TCCCACCGCAACCCCCCCCCCCCCCCCCCCTACACACACACGCCCTCCTTATCTACACAGCATATGGCAGAGGTATTCTGTAGGTTCACATAGCTGAGATGGGCAGGGCTGATCATATTGTTCAAGATGACACTGCAGAATGCACAGAACACATCAACACTGGAGTAGTGGCCGGACCAACAGGTATTCCTGTGCAATTATCAAACGGATATAACAAAGCACTTTCACTTACATATTTAACAAACCAAGACGTAGCAAATAAGAGAAGTCCGTTGTCTGAGTTTACATAACCTTTATTATTGGTTTTCCTGCTATTACCCATAATGCCTTTGTTCCTCCTCTGTAGATATTACAGGAAAATGTTGGCAGTTGACCCTGTGACGATCCTACTGACTGTTGTCATCATCCTCTTCTTGGCCCATGTATACAACAAGAAGCAAGAAAAGTACAAGAATTTCCCACCTGGGCCCAAACCACTGCCAATCATCGGAAATATCCTCAGTATCGATATGAAGAAACCACATAAGACATTTATGGAGGTAACATTCTGCTTGTCCTATATCAAGTGAGGCGATATAGGAACTCCAACAACAGCTTTAAGTTTATTTTTGCACAGCGTGGGCAAGAACAAAATCTTTGGCTAGCCTTTGTATCCTTTTAACGAGGTCAGATTAATACCACTCATTCATATCAATGCCTTATCAACAGATCCATGGAGAACCCAAAGTGGGTGACCGGTAGTGATGAGCCAAACATGTCAAGGTTTGGTTTGCTTGGACATTCACTAAACCTAGCCAGAAATCTGGGTTTGGTGAACCTCCAAGCAAACTGAACTGAGCCCAGTTGCTAACATCCTAGCAATCATTGATGTTGTGTGGGCTGCATAGAGTCATTGGTTGCTAGGACACAGATGGGGGTTTGGCAGGTGAGTTAACTGGCCAAATTGTTCACCTGTTTTTTGAACTGTGAACAGCTTGGGTTTAGGTCAAACACATGGTCCTCCCAAACTTGAAGCTCAACCCTAGAGGCCAGAAAGTAAACAATACACTATGTCACCAACGATACAGAACAAGCAGTGCAGGGGCAGTGTCAATCAAGACACAATAAAGTGGCATTGGTGGGCAGGATAGCTATCTGGAATCATTTAGTGTACATCAGAATATTTCACTGACTGTCAACAGCATGATATACAGGTGATTGGGTGCCACCCATGGAGGTCCTTCTCAGGGGAGGACTGGAAACCTTTGGCCTGGATGGGCAAACACAACTGACTAGTCCTTTCATGGTAGGAACAGATTTCCTGTGGGCTAAAGAAAGTGTGCCATGCCAAGTGGGTTACGCAGTGATTGGTAATGATGAAAGTTGGGTGTTGCTGAAGGAAATGGTTGATTATGACACACCTTTTCGAGTCTTCCATTGTGGCTCTCTGTAGTTGGTTGAATGACATCAAAAGAAATTGGTTCTGTAAGACTTTCCTCTACCAGATGCTGTGATCCAGGTCTGGAAAAGGTAACAGGTCACCATATAATGCCCAGCATATGGCGCTGACTGTGGATTCCACTCTGATTGATGTCTTAATGGTGAAGTATCTCCAATAAGAGCCACCAGCTCATTGTACTTTATTAGCAAATGTCCCCCCCTGGTCCTGGTGCTCTAACCCACACTATGTTGGCAATGCAGAACTCCCGCCAACCACAAATCTAGGCTTGCTCACATTTATGACAGACTGAAATCAAAATGAAGTGTTTTAAAGGCAGAAGGTGGAAGAAAAATATATTTTTTATGTGGTCTTCATAATGGCCCATCTTAGGAAAGACTTCCATCATTCATTATTGCAGTAGTGCCTTTGCTTCTCCAATACTGAACATTTGTTGAAAACTTTGCTGAAAGCTCAAAGACATTTACAGTCTACCTAAGCGGAGATGATCTCTGGGTTCAAGTCATCCGTGAGTTCAACTGGAAGCCAAGCTATTCCCAGTTCATTGCATAAGTGAATGATATGGCCAGTTCGCCCACTCACCAAACCTTTGTGTGTGTCCTAGCAAGCAATAACAATGTGCAAGGATGGTTGCTAGGATGCTAGCGGATGGGCTGCACAGCATCATTGGATTCTAGGATGCAGAGTGGAGCACCATAACAACCTATAGAGTTGTGGGGCCACCAGCCACTTTGCAACCAATGACGCTGTGTGCCCCGCACAGCCCCACACCATTATTATTATTTTTTTAATGGTGTGCCTGTCTGCATTCTATCATCCAATGCCGCTACGTGAGATGTTTGCCAAACGCAGATTTTTATTTGGGTTGGTTGAATGTTCAAGGGAATCTAACCCAGGCCCATCTGGCTAATCATTAAAGAGGAGCAGGGATAGGCAAAGTTCTGTGGTGCACCAGGCAGGGCTGTCATACTGTTTGGAATTTCAGAGCAACAAGGGCACTGTGTTGTCAGCCCAAACAGGCAGTTTAGGGCTTATTGGATTTCTGCCAGATAGTCATGTGTTTTTCTGTACATTGTTTGTAAAGGGATAAAACATGACAAAATGTTCATATACTGCAAAGAGGTACTAATTTTTTTTTATTTGCCCTGACATACATCTACTGGCTGATTGTGGGGGCAGGTGCAGCATTTAAGTGTGTGCAGCAGCCTAAACATGACTATGGGAGGATGGGGCTGCAAGTGGCTACAATCTTACCCGAAACTGCACATTCATGCGGGTCTGGGGGGGTCTGGGTTCCTCCACCTGGATGTAGATGTAGCGATAACTCCCCGCAGGGAGCCGCTGATTGCCCGGTCCTCATCTAGTCAGTCTAGGGGTTGATTTTTTTAGCTGCACACATTAGCACTAACCGCCCATAAATTGATGTACACTTCAGGAGGCTACTTGAACAGTTTATTGAACATACTCTGTGGTAGAGAGGGTATAGGGTCTAGGTGTACAGGCCTCCTTAGCTCCAGACTCACCGGATCTTATCTTCAAGGGAATACATCTCCACAATCCATGAAAGAACACTGACCAGGCTCTGAAGTCCATCTAAATCCAAGGCACTTCAAAGTCACTGGTCCTGGTTCTTCCATCTTTCAGGCATTCTCCTGGCTGTAAGCCTCCAAGGAAACCTCTCCTTCAGCAGCTCAGCCAATTCCCACACACAGGCCTCGGCCTAGCCTGGGGGGCAGGCTGAGCAGGACCATGGCTGGTCCAGGCGAGAGAGAGAGAGCACATGGCAGCTCCCACCCATATATGTACACTTTGTCAGCAGACACCACTGGCTGCAAGAAGCCCAGTGATTGGCTGCTGTACTGTACACATATCACAGTGTCTCCTATTGGCTGTCCCCAAATATGACAGTCTCACTCCGCCCAGGGGGGTACAGACAAGGTTAGACACTTGGGAATTAACCATGTACTTGCTGCTACAAATCCAGCCAGGCTGTCTACAGCCCTGGCACATCACTAAATGCATGGTAGTCACATCACAAAAGGTAATGGGCGCTACATAGACAATGCAGCTCAACTTTTAACTGGAGACATGTTTGTAATTTAATTTTTGTCATTTAAAGTGATACTATTACTTTTTCATTATATCTCTAATTCTTTATTCCATTTTCAGCTATCCAAAACCTATGGTCCAGTGATAGGTGTTCAGTTAGGGATGGGGAAGATAGTTGTCCTCTGCGGACTTGAAGCTGTGAAAGATGCTTTAATCAACCACGCTGAGGAATTTTCTGACAGACCAAGGGCACCAATACTTGATAAAAGAGAATATGGTACCTGTTTTATTTATCTAATAAAGTAGTGTTAACACCTATTGTCTAAAGAATATGAACGTCAGTGTGCAAAAAAAGTTGACTGGATGATCAATGCTAACAGCTTGCGTTCCTAAAAATATATTTTTATTGGATGTTCATGTATAATGCATAAGAGGAGGAGCAATACAGCAATCTGGACATTTGGTTTATTGGTTATCACTTCTGCCTTGCAGCACTGGGGGTCCCTAGTTCAATGGCTCGTCAGGACACTATCTGCAGGGAAATTGCATGTTCTCACTGTGCTCACATGGGTTTCCTCCCACACTCCAAGGACGTGCTTGAAGGTTAAGCGGCTCCTTTCTGAATTAGCCTTGTATGTATGTGAGATAGGAACCTTAGATGGTATACACCTTGAGGGCAGGGACTAGGGATGCACCGATACCGTTTTTTCGAGTACAGATATTTATCTTTCAGTACTTGCCGATACCAAGTACCGATACCCATACCACCGCTAGCATTGCATTACACACCGCCGGGCTTCTTGATTGCTCGGGGAAGCCGGCTCAATGTTTCCTTGCAGCACTGCCGGTCAGAGGATATCTCCCTCTGACCAGAAGTTCCGGTATTAGGAGTAAGTATCGGAGCATTTGGGCGAGTATGAGTACTTGCCCAAATACTCGGTATCGGTGCATCACTACCAGGGACTGATGTGAATGGACACAATGTAGAGCACTGTGTTAATTGTCAGTGCTATAGAAATAGCTGTAATAAATAAATATGTATGGTGTGTTGAAGTTTAACCAGCTTATATTTTGCCTTCCCTGGTTCTGCAACCATAACCCCCCCCCCCACTATGATCAACTTACAAATTGCTTCTAAAATCTTTCTATTTTCCTTACATACCTTATTTTAGTCCCAGTGATGTCATCACTTGGTCTATGTGCTTCTCCATACAATGCAGGCAGATCATGGCTGGAGGGAGGGGCCGGAAGGGTGCTTTACACAGCTATCTCAAAACATCACACCTCCTTGCCTCAGTACTCCACTGGTGAACCTTACATTGGCTTTTAGGAGGAGTTATTTAACTACCAATGTCAGCCAAAAGGAGTGGATATTCCTAATCTGGCTCTATTTGCATTTTGGCCACCCTAGGTAATGCCCACATGTGATGCTGAGCCTTCATGATTGAAAGAAATGAAATCCAAAACATTGAAGGGGTGGGCCATATACAGTCAGAGCAAAAGGGCTAGATCAGGGGTAGGTAACCTTAGCAATCCGGCTGATGTGAAACTAGAAATTCCATCATGCCGTGGTCTCTGTGAGTCATGCCTGTGGAAGTCAGAGTCTTGCAATGCCTTATGGGACAGCTGGAGTGCCAAAGTTACCTACCATTACTCTAGATGATGCTGGATGTCCTCCAGCCAGGAAATGAGGTGGGCTCTATTTGACTTACTGCAGCTTCTAAGGCACATTGTGAGAAGCTCAGAGTAAACAATTTCAGTCCAGGAGAGGAGTCAGTATAACTGTGCAAGACTAATGTGGAAGGCCGGAAATGTAAGTTCTTATGTTTTGTGTTTAGGCCTTGTTTTTTCTAATGGAGAAAACTGGAAGGTGATGAGAAGATTTGCACTTTCCACACTCCGAGATTATGGGATGGGAAAGAAAACTATAGAAGACAAGATTAGCGAGGAAGCTGAATGCTTGGTACAGACTTTTACGTCACAAGGAGGTGAGTGTTCGCCGGGTCAGTTCAAACCTGACATGATGCCATTGGTCCTGCTAATTGTCTTTTATTAAGTAACTTGTTGCCAACTGAGGCATTTTCAACTGAGATTACCTTTAGCCATCATGCAGAGTCTGTATATGTTAGGAGCAAATATAGCCATTTTCTTGTGCTTATATAATTACGAAGGTTACATTTGGTCGTGCAGTCTACCTCCCTACCAGTTTTTGCCAGTCTCCCAATAGTTTTCTTCCCACCACACCACCATCATCATTTACAATGCATTGTACTTGATGATATAGATGTGCCTGTCCACATTCGGGAGATGAAAAGCAGAGGAATGGACCATCGTGAAGTATGTTCGGTATTCCTCTTTATTTGATCATCCCTCGAAAAAATAAGCACTATTTTCTTCATCGGCTGCCGAGGGAACAATGTTAATTATATAAATAATGATTAGAGTTCCACTTCAAACCACTTGCACTTTTCCCAGAGTTCTATGAATAGATACGCAGTCTGTGTTAGGAGATGTAAGTATGAATTTTCTTATATGCAGGGGATACTTTACTTTTTAATTATTATTTTAGCAACAGTGTCGCTTTAAAGGAACAGTGGCATTTCCCATGGGTCAAGGTTTGCAGGCAATGCCCAGGATGGCATTCCTAGCACCCTTTGTAATGCCTAAGGATCAGTGGATTATGTTGAGTGGTTTGGTGAGTGTACTCTACCCCAGGTACAGTGAAAGTAGATTTATGTCCACCCCAATGATTCCTAAATAGTTCCAGCACTGACATCTGGTGGCAGAGCCAGTGGCATCTGTGAAGGATCCTCTGGCTGCTTAGAGTTAAGTAGTTCCTTTAACATTAGTTATCTCTTTAGGTGCTTGCATGTATTTTCCTATTAACTAGCAATGTAAGATTTTTCCCTACACATTGGTAGCCAGATACAGAAAAAATGCACCTTTCATTGGTAGTTAGTAGAAAGAATGCCCCTTACATTGGTGGTCATTTGGAAGAATTCCTCTTACATCATTGGTCATATGGAAGAATTCCCTTAAATTGGATAATTGAATAATCCTGTCATTGGTTGTCAGAGGGGAGACTATGTTAAAATATCCATCAACTGTTGAGACATGGAGACATATTTAGTTAATTGGTCCAGATGTCTTAAAACTCGGGAGTTAAACCTTAAAAAGTTCCTAACTATTAACAAAAATGTATCTTATTTGTGTATCACTCGGCTGTAGATCCTCCAATCATCTCTGAATTGGTGCTGACACTGTCCTTCCTTCTGGAGGGGGGCTACTTTGTTTCCTGGTTCGTGTGTGTGTTGTAAAATAGCCACTGCTCCAAGCCTGTTCACTTGAGTGTTCACTTGCTAGATGCATTCTATTTTATACAATATGCCTTCAAATGGTCAAATGTAATTGTTTTTCTTTTGATTTTAGGGAAGCCTTTCAACAATCGCACCATCATTAATGCGGCTGTGGCCAACATAATTGTATCCATACTACTGAGTCGTAGATTTGAATACGATGATCCAACTATACAGAAGCTCATGAGTTTAGTTAATGAGAATGTAAGACTCCTGGGCTCACCTATAGTCAGGGTAAGTATAGATCTGCATAGGTATGTTGAAAAGTAATTCTTCATTTACCCCTCATTCTCCATGACAGCCAACCAGGAGACTGCTCCTCCCACCTTAAAGTGACAAGAAACACACAGAGTTAAAAGCCTCATCCACCCTTACCAACTCTTTGTTTTCCTGTCTCCTTGAGGATAGAGACGATTCTCTTTGGCTGTTGTTTAATTGTATTTTCCAGCTCATAGTTTGGTCTTCAGGTTTTTACCTTTTTTAGCCCTCATTTACATGTGTAACGGCCGGCCCGTACAGATCCGTGCTGCGTGCACGGCAATATCGGGCCACTCCCGGGAAGGACAGGTGCTGCGTGTGATTTGTATGCAGCAGCCTGCTCTTCTCTATGGGAGTATGCGGCCGTACACCGCCCTACGCTCACCCGACCTGCACGTCCGTGCAGGTGCGGGTGTCCATACTCGTTCACTGACAGGATGGATCCCTTGTGCGTCCGGACATGGACATCCTCACCCGTACGGACGTGCAAGGCGAGTGAGTGTAGGGCGGCTTACGGCCGCATCCTCCCATAGAGAAGGACAGGCTGCTGAGTACAAATCACATGCAGCACCTGTCCTTCCCGGGAGCTGCCTGATACGGCCGTGCACACAGCACGGATCTGTAAGGGCCTGCCGATACCCATGTGAATGAGGACTTAAGGTTCCCTTCACACCTTTTGAGTCCGGTGCATTGTATTGACACACATCCTGTGTGTTGTGTTAAGGCATTTGAATGGGCTGCCAACACACCAGAATGGACAGAAAAACCCCACACACCTACGCTATTGTTCCTGACACAGCACTGAGCTTGTAGCCCAAATCAGTGGAGCAGCCTATTGTGACAACGCTGCGCCTCTGTAGAGTAAAGTCAATGAGTGTTGTTGTCCTAGGAGAAAAGGTGTGTTACTGGCCGAATCACCAGGTGAAAATTAAATAAAAAGGCCTCGAAAGTCAAAACATCTAAGGACTGATACACTGCAGGATATTAGATTTTTATCAGAGTATTTAACTAGAATAAAAAAAATCACAGAAAAAAACAATAAATACTGTTTTTGTTTTGTTTGTTTTTTTAAAGCTGTACAACAGCTTTCCATTTCTCATAGGCTTGCTGCCCGGAGGCCACAAGAAGATGGTTAAAAACCGACAGCAGATTCAGAGCTTTATAAGAGAGACATTTACTAAGCAGAGGAAAGAACTTGATGTAAATGACCAGAGGAACCTTGTTGATTCATTCTTGGCCAAGCAACAAGAGGTAAGGATTAAAATGTATCATTCATCTGTGTATTTAGCCGTTTCCCTGGCTTTTAGCAACATTCAGTAATTTTTTGGTGTAGCCGCCTTTCCCTAAATGGGATGACTACTTAAATTTAGCTAAGCTGGGCTGTAAACAACCTAAGCCAAATGGATAATGCTGTACCATTTGGTCTACCCTAAACTCAGTGAAGGTTGGTGTGTGACCCTGGCAGTAGAGCAAAAAGAGACAATAGTGCCAGGTAACAGTCTTCTTGGCCAACCGCTTGGAGGCTTATTGCCAGTGGTGCATGCTGGGGAATATTTAGAGCTCATCCCATGAGTGTATCTTCTCCCTGGGCTCCTGCTTGGAGTAGCATGTGTTGCTGACTCTGGTATAGTTAGGCATTCTGCCTAGGTTTGATGTGTCTCAAAATGGAGGCCTGGATTTGGCCCTGAAGATCTGATATCTGTAGAAGGGGAAGCTGGGTAGAAGTTTGAACCTTGCAGGGGCCTAGTTACTCTCTTGGGTGGATGCACAGAGAAGTCTGCTAGTCACCTGAGGTTCTCATACATACCATGATGCTGGTCCCCATCAAAAGACCCTCTGCACTGCATAGTCAGAACTGGATACAGAGTCAAGAGTCTGAACTGCATTCTGGGTGTCACCTTTTCCCGTCCCATCTAGTAAGCAACAATGCAGAATAAAATCTTTAAATACCTTAAAGTGACTGATGCCCAACTACATTCACACCGCACAACCAGCCAAGGATTTACCCATGAGATCAAATGCTAGCCCACCCTGCCTTTTGAGGTCCCTCACATACTTTTGGGGATCACGGGGGGTACTACACTGGTCAAGTGCTGGTAATCACCCACAAAAAAAGAATCTTGGTAAAGCCTCCCTATTGAATTTAAAAGAAATCCTGTTGTTTATGCCAATGACTTCCTGCTTAATGGCATCAGCGATCTGAAATCTCAACTGGCCTCTACAGCGTTGCCACCACAGTGCCCATGACCCATTCTTTAAGAAAGAAAATGACTTACTATGTCCTCTGCTGTTATAAGCTTCACATGTCACTGGCAGTAATGCCTGTTGGGACAGAGAGGACATCAATAAGCCACCAGGACTAATAGTAAGCTGTTTTCTAAGGAAGCAGAGCAGACACCCTGCAGTGTCAATGCTGCAGAGTCTATATAAACCTGCAGATTGTTGCCACCACAGTGAACATGCTTCATTTCGATAGCATGGCTCATTTTGTCCCATTGCATAGTCACATCTATATGCCACATATGCCACATCTCACCCATCAACCAGGGTCATGCAGAGAAAATGGGGGTCATGTGATCTGCAAAATAAAAACAAAAAAGGTATTTCTGATGTTTTTATTTCACCCTCTACTAGTTGGTGACATGCCCTATCTAAAGAACTGGAGATAACAGCTGGGTTTACAACCACCAAAAACAAAATGCTTTTGTCTGCTTTATGTTTTTGGATGGCCTGATTGGAATAAAAACATGTGGGCAGTGCTAGGTTAGTGGTATTTAAAGGGACCAGGCAAGACAATGTTTCTTTTAGATATTCTGGTTTTATATTGGTATATCAATGCGGTAGTTGTCCAACAACAAATTAATGGCAAACTGGCACTTTCTCGGTTATGGCACAAAGTAGCTCAAAAAAGGTAGACTTACGGGTGGCAGTGTGCTTGAGTAGTCCAATGGAAACACTTTTATGTAAATCCAGGAAAATTATGTTCTTTTTGATTGAGTTGGGAAAAGTGAGAATCTCAGTTAGGATGTTGTCCTGTCTGTGTCCACAATAGGGACATGAACATGCACCTCCATCTTGTCTTCTCCTCTGCTCATTTTCCATTTATTCTGAAGTAGATAAGTAGACCTGGACCCATTGCCAGAGAACTGCTGCTACATTGTATCTACAGTAACTGTCTCGTTATCCTCCATCTCTATGTCTGCAGGGGAAGCCGGAATCAACTCTGTACTTTCATGATGAAAATTTAACAGTCCTGGTGGCCAACTTGTTTGCTGCTGGAATGGAGACAACATCCACCACTCTGAGATGGGGCCTCCTACTGATGATGAAGTATCCTGATATACAAAGTAAGACATGGTGCTCTAACCTCTGAACCACATACCATGGAATATCACTTTGGTATGTTCCTTCTAAGATCTGGTTTTCTCATGGTCAGCACCTACCGAACTTTGAGAATAGTGCTATGTGCACTTGTTTATTAGCAAATTACAAAACAGCATTGCCTTCTGAAAACCAAAGGTTGTTTAGTGTGTACTGGTTTCAGAGAGAGAGTGGAGTGGTTAATATATTAGGGGGTAACCTTGTACATTGTGAGGATGAAAAAAGTAATTGGACATCTAGGCTGTGGGTTGGAGTGCCAAGGTTGACTACCCTTGATCTAAATGCAGGATTTTAAGTGTGAGTGAAGCCTTATACTTGCCTATCCAGTAGCCCAATCCTTCTGCCTCCTCTCTGATGCAGTACTGCAGCCTCTGTCAGATTCTTTGGGATATAAAGATGCCCCAATAAAAGGGTTGTCCCTAAAATGAGGCAGGCTGAGCCGTTTGCCTAAGGCAGCATCTCATTGGAGGGCAACTGGGTGGTGAGGGTGGTGGCAGGGTGGTGGCCACAGCATCCCAGATTCCTAAGAGCTGTTAGAAACCTGTGACGATCTGTATGACTTACCGCCCAGCTCACTGACATCACCAGTTGCCAGGAGCTGCGTGGGACACTCTGGCATGCGTCCAACAACCAGTGACCATTCCCTGCCAGCAAGCCCACCACCCCCAATGGCATTGCCTCAGGAGGCGAATACCTTGGGGACAGCCGTGCCCACTGCACACTGTTGTTCCATGCCCTGACCCCTACATCACTTCAAAACACAGCAGGTGAGGAGTAATTGGAAGGAGGGGAATCCTACATTTTAGGACTATACTCACTAAGGATATACATTTATGGAAATTTACATTTATTTGATATCATCTTGCCAACAGAGAAAGTACAAGATGAAATTGAGAGAGTCATTGGTACGGCTCAGCCGAGGTTAGAGCACAGGAAACAAATGGCGTACGTCGATGCTGTCGTTCATGAGGTACTGCGCTATGGTGATATAGCACCGGGAAGTGTTCCACATGCAACGTCACAAGATGTCACCTTCAGAGGATATTTTATTCCAAAGGTGAGTGCCCGCAGTTAAAGTAGGTGCAAACCTGATTGCTAATATCTCACATAAGACCGTTTTCACTCTTTTCATGTCTGCAGCTTTCATTAAAATAATGAACATGTGCAGTTGCTTCTATTTTTCCATCATACTTTAGGTGCCAGTACTTTAGGGTTTCAGGGTGACATCTGCCCCTAAAAAAAGCTCCCACTCCCTCAAGCTACTATCTTTTGGCTTCTGTTTGCCATTGAGAGGGCGTGGAATATCTCATATCACCCGCACTATGGCGTTTACTCTCCTAAAGCAAGGCTTTGATGTCTGTAAAGGTACTCATTTATCCAGGTCTTGGTTTAGCTTGCACCAGTTGTCACATTCAGCTGGACTTAATCTGTAATGTTGAAGACATTTGGTAGCTTCTCCAGGCTATTTTTTCAGATCCAGTGAATGTCAGGAACATACCTCGGGATTTATATCCATACATGCAAGCTGATTGGCTGCAGTCACTGTTTGACCAAGATTTTTGCAGAGCGGCTCCTTTGGCAATAGTCCATTATCACGTACCTGGTTGGAGACTGGATGCATGAGGAGGCCTCCCTTGCACCTCGTGTTCTAAGGTCTCTGGAAGTGGGGACAGAGTCCTGGCAGACAACGAGTGGCACGGGTGCCAGTGGTGTTAATACCGTGCAAGCTGAAGATTTGGTTCTGCAGCAGAACTGGGTTAATCCGAAATCCAGGGTCAACAAGCTGAGGTCACACCAAGCAGGCAGAGAAGGTACACGAGGATGAGACAAAGGCAGTCCAGTAAACAATCCATGGTCAAAGGCAGGTGGCAGGCAAGAATGGTCAAAACAATCCGTGGTCAAAGGCAGGCTGCAGGCAAACAAGGTCAAAGTAAATCCGGGTCGAAGCAAACAGGCAGGAATCACAAGAAACTGGGATCAAAGGACACAGGACTTCAGGTCAGGCTCTTGCTATCCTCATGTACAATGCAGGACTTCTGATCATAGATTGTACATGAAGATGTTTGCGACCAGCAGAGAGGAGAAAAGTGGCTCTGGGAGAATGTTCATATAGCACGGAGGAAGCTTGTTGGAGCGTGGCATAAGGTATAGTCACCTCCTAGACAAAATGAGCATTTCACCCTTCCAGTGGTAAATTGTTAATTTTGGGCCAACATGTTGTATTTCTTCATCTATTTGTTATATGCTAACTGGTTGACAACAATGTTTCCCGCAGGGAACCACAGTCATCCCAGTGCTCTCCTCTTCATTGAGAGACAAGTCCTACTTTGAAAAACCCTACGAGTTCTACCCAGAACATTTTCTTGATTCTGCAGGCAATTTCAAGAAGAGCGATGCGTTCATCCCATTCTCTATTGGTAATTCACAACATTATTTTTGTATTATTGATTTCAATGTTGTAAAAAATTGAAAGTTCTGATTAAATTCAATGATACGAAATATAAAACCGGTATCCACTATCATAGTGTCCGATGGACACATCTATATGCTGAACTTGCTGACGAGAGAATCTGTTGTGTTGGAGAACTACCTGTACTGGCCAGTCTACCAGCTAAGGCTGTCATATATGAAGACTACATAGCACTAGGAAGGTTTTCATCTCTCATTTACAGAGTTCCTGTTCTTCATACTGAAGAGGGATAAGAGATATTGGGAGTTTTCATTTAAACACTTGGGACATTTTTGCAACATTTTTCCTTTTGGCAAAATTCATTGATGCCAATGAGGATGGTAAAACTATGGTAGTATTTGGTGGTTTTAAAGGCGGACCTTACAGTAAAATCCAGGTTCTGCTTGTACTGTTCAGGTCCCGTCCCCCTATATAAATCACTGGCAGATAGTAGTTCCGTAATGTACTTATAAAGTAAAAAGTCAAGGTCTATCTTCCACCTTGACTGTCCTTAGGCGTTCCCTAAAGTCTCATCTCTTCAGGTAAGCCTATCGCACCTCAACCTAACCACTGAACCATCACATTCTCAAATAATTCATCCCCTCACAGCTCCCTCCTCATGTATCATTTCCCCCTCCTCTTTTAGATTGTAAGCCCTCAGGGGCAGGGCCCTCCTTACCATCCTGTCTTTAATTGTATTGTATTGTAATTGTAATGTCTTCCTTACATTGTGAAGCGCTGCACAAACTTCCTGAGTGACCGAAATGTACAAGGGTACAGGTACTCTTAAGAATGAGAACACTCATGGACCTATACACACACACACACACACACACACACACAACAGGTTGGACTTGATGGACCTGTGTCTTTATTCAACCTCAAATACTATGTAACTGTTAGCGCTATATACATACTATGTAATAACAATAATAATAATTTATATTCATCTTACCACCCACGAACCCAAGGCAGGCAGGACACTTTGTGAGGCAGGCACAGATACCATTGATACCATTGTTATATTATGTTCCAAGGGAAAATGGGATTCTTTTCATTTCTTTGCAACATTGTTTACTGCGTTTTAGCAGGTTTATGACATCATTATGGTGTCATAGGTAACTTTTTTCTCTGATTGGTGGATGTCTTCTTTAAATGTATGGTCATTGCATGCCTGACAACGAGGTCTGGCGTGGATTCGATATGTAGCACTGACACTGTTTTTGATGTGATCACTACAATACATCATTTGAACTGTTGATCCATTGTGTTCTGGTGACATACAATATGTTCTTATGCAGCTGCTGATACCCGACAACCTGCTACAAATTCCTATAGCACTTTCTTCCTCTAGGCATTGTATATATTAAGTAATAGGGTGACATCACATTCCTTTCAGCTTGATACTGGGGAATGCAGGCAGAACAGCCCAGATCTCTTGAGAAGACACTCTTGTAACAGTCTGGAGTGTCTTCTCATTAAATTTCGCCTGCCCTGCATTTCCCGGCAACCTTCCTTCGATTACAGATACATTTTAAATCTACTTTTTACAGAAGGGGGGGCCCAGGCAGTATAAGTGGACCTTGTATTTTACTTTGAGGTCCGCTCTGAGGGTACACTGGGCTTTAAAAGGCTCCTCAGGGCTATGGAAGCTGGACCTATTTCTGTACCAACAAAATGGCCCAGCAATCCTAGGCCCCATTATTTTAATATTTTAAATACATATATTAAATTAATATAAAATGAATGTGACAGTATACAGATAACTATCAAGTATACAAAAAATGAAGTTAGATACCATATAGAGCCCTCCTACCATTGAACACCCAGAAGATCTTGTAGCTGGTGGCTGATGACATCACTGTCATTTCAGAAACATTTTCTACAGTTGTAGAGAAAGAAAGGAAAAAGAAAATGAGGCAGGCTAGCTGCAGAGGGAGAAGGGTTTATTGTGGCCAGCAACAGAGTGAGCCTGAAGATAAGCTTTAAAGCAGTCCGAACAAGAGTGTAACACCACAGACCACGATATGACTTTCTTTGAGTACTATAGACATTTCAGATGTTTTTCGCCACACGCAACCAACAGGGGTGTAACTAGAAATCACAGGGCCCCATAGCAAAATTTTGTATGGGGCCCTGTGATCTCTAGGTATGCCCCTTGCAGAGCCCACCTGACATCCCACACAGCCCACCTGAGAGTGACCCTGCGGAGCCCACCATAGACTCTCTATGGTGGGCTCTGCAGGGTCTCCGGTGGGCTGGTCACACCCCTGCACACCTGTTACCTGTCAGCCCCAATCCGCTGTCAGCCTTCTCCACCACCGGGCCCTACCTCCTCCTCGGTCGCCGGTGGGCCCTGCCACCGGACCTGGCCTCTTCTTCCTCCTCCACTGCCGTCAGGCCCCGCCTCCTCCACCGCAAGCTGCTGGCTGTTACTGACTCAGCAGCGGCTGTGAGGAGGAACGCGCCGCTGCACAGAGAAGTGGTGCCTTCCCTCTCACTGCCTTCAGTGACAGCCAGCAGCCTGAGATGCCATAGCAACCCAGGCGGCCCGCAAGGCATCAGGGGGACCCCTTTGTTTCTCGTCCTGGCCGGGCCCCCCTGTGCTGCCTGGGACCCTGTGGGGGGGTCGATAGTTCGGCTGCTGGCAACCAAACAGCCAAGTGCTGATATACTTAATAGCGGTGCTGCTCACTCCCATTTAGGAGCACTCTTGGCGCAGCCAGAAGCAACCTGGACATGGATGTTGCATAAATCCCATGTACTGCATATCTAATACTTTTTTTATGATCAGATTCTACTATATGGCTGATTTAAATGAATTAAACCATTTTCTTTCTTTTCCTAGGAAAAAGAAGTTGTGCTGGGGAAACATTGGCTAAAATGGAGCTATTCCTCTTCTTTACAACACTGCTACAACACTTCACCTTCAAGGCCCCTCTTGGAGCTGTGCTGGACCTCACCCCTGCCCTGGGGGCTACAAACCCCCCATTACCTCATGAAACCTGTGCAATCCCCCGCACCTAGATTGAGCCTGCTGGGAAATACATAGTAATTTATTGAACACTGCATCTGCACGTTGTAATGAACTAAAAATAAAACTTGTCAGTTTCTTGATTTATTGTTTCACATTAGCAAAATCTGCTTATTCCTCGAATAGCTCTTTTAAAATGGTGACGATAAGGAGGTTTGAGCATATTAATATTAACTATGAAATTCTCCCTTCCCTGATCCTTAAAAAAAAAAAATGCAGCCTTCTATTCAGTTCAAGTGATCTCAGGCTGACCTACGTTTGCAGGCATCTTCAACTTCCAGTGCAAAATTTTAATCTGAGCCTGCGTTTTTTTATAGTCCATATCCCTAATTACCTAGTGAGGTAGCAGGATTACCCTCTTAACCTTTTTTATGGTGACCCCCCTAATGAAAGTCAACCTAGTCTCCAATACATTAATATTTGACAGACTGAGGTAAACACAAGAGGGTCTAGCAAGGATAATGAACCCGGTGACCTTGCATCCAACTGAGTCACAAAACTGAGAGTTCCAATATTATCAAGTTATAATGAATCAGTTTGGTATGCTGCTGCTGTATTTAAGCCAAGCAATAACGTACAAGTTAAAAAAATATATTACACATGCAAAATACACTATTACCAAAAGTATTGGGACGCCGGCCTCTACACGCATATGAACTTAGTCCGTAGGGCTCAATATTGAGTTGGTTCCGCCCTTTGTCGCTATAACAGCTTCAACTCTTCTGGGAAGGTGTCCACAAGGTTTAGGAGTGTGTCTATGGGAATGTTGGACCATTTGTGAGGTCAGGTACTGATGTTGGATGAGAAGGCCGGGCTCGCAGTCTCCGCTCTAATTCATCCCAAAGGTGTTCTATCGGGTTGAGGTCAGGACTCTGTGCGGGCCAGTCAAGTTCCTCCACCCCAAACTCCCCCATCCATGTCTTTATGGGCCTTGCTTTGTGCACTGGTGCGCAGTCATGTTGGAACAGGAAGGGGCCATCCCCAAACTGCTCCCACAAAGTACGCTGGACGCTTTTTCACAGGGTCTGTGTGTTTATTTACAATTTTTTTTTATGTGTAACAAGGGGTACTATGTACCACTTACTCATTCATTTAGAGGGGAAGATCAGATATATGGAGGCCCCTTATGTCAAAGAGGTCTTCCAGATTCCGATAAGTCCCACCCAGGTCGTTGGAGGAGAAGGCCGGGCTCGCAGTCTCCACTCTAATTCATCCCAAAGGTGTTCTATCGGGTTGAGGTCAGGACTCTGTGCAGGCCAGTCAAGTTCCTCCACCCCAAACTCGCTCATCCATGTCTTTATGGACCTTGCTTTGTGCACTGGTGCGCAGTCATGTTGGAACAGGAAGGGGCCATCCCCAAACTGTTCCCACAAAGTTGGGAGCATGAAATTGTCCAAAATGTCTTGGTATGCTGATGCCTTAAGAGTTCCCTTCACTGGAACTAAGGGGCCAAGCCCAACCCCTGAAAAACAACCCCACACCATAATCCCCCCTCCACCAAACTTTACACTTGGCACAATGCAGTCAGGCAAATACCGTTCCCCTGGCAACCACCAAACCCAGACACGTCCATCGGATTGCCAGACAGAGAAGCGTGATTGGTGCACTTGGTGATGTAAGGCTTGGATGCAGCTGCTCAGCCATGGAAACCCGTTCCATGAAGCTCTTTACGCACTGTTGTTGTGCCAATCTGAAGGCCGCACGAAGTTTGGAGGTTTGTAGCTATTGACTCTGCAGACAGTTGGCGACTTCTGTGCGCTTCAGCATGCGCTGACCCCGCTCTGTCATTTTATGTGGCCTACCACTTTGTGTTGTTGCCAGTAGGGATGAGCCGAACACCCCCGTGTTCGGTTCTAATTCGAACTTTCGAACATGGAAAAAGTTCTAATTCAAACTTAGAACTCAATGTAAGTCTATGGGGGTAGAACTCAGAAAATTAGATGTGCCCATTTTGAAGCCTTATATGCAATTTATTGGCCATACAAAGGTGTATGGGGATCCGAGTACTGCCCTGGGGGACATGTATCAATGAAAAAAACACTTTTTAAAAATACCATTTTTAAAGGAGCAGTGATTTAACATCACTTAAAGCAGTGGTTCTCAAACTGTGGGTCGCTGTGTGTCCTCCTCAGCCCTCTCCTAGCGCAGCAGTGTCAGTTCTCCTGCCACGCCGCCAGATGTCACTGCAGCAGCCACGTCATCCCTAAATTTTACCGTTGGGGGACACCACAACTTGGCAAATGTTACCAAGTGGTCCCGGCCCTAGAAAGGTTGAGAACCACTGACTTAAAATGAAGCACTAAATATGGTGCCTGGGGGGTCCCCTTTCCCTGCCTGTAAAGTGTCACATCTGTATTATGTATAGGACCTGCTGAAGCAAAAATGACATTTATAAAGAAAAAAATTACATTTAAATTGCCGGTAACTGTGTATTGGTAATTTAGTGATTCTCTAAGTCTGATGTATAGAAGTCTAATATATACAGAAGTCTGATATACAGAAGTCTAATATATAGAAGTCTAATATATACAGAAGTCTGAGATTTAGAACTCTAATATATATAGAAGTCTGTATTATATTATATATACTATATCGTAATTATATTAATCACTAACTATACTAGAACCCTCTTTATCTCCTACAGCACACTACATAGAGCCGCGGTGTCAGCAGCCTTATATAGTGTGCTGCAGGGACTAAGCTGTGAGACATGATTGGGCAGAGTCATCGTGACTTTGCCCAATCATGGCTCTATATGTGTACTGAGCCCTGATTGGCACAGTCTTGCACCTGACCTGTGGTCAGGTGCAAGACTGTAGCCAATTACAGTTTCGGAGGGCGCAGTGCATTGTGGGATGTTCCGTGGTCGAACAGACCGCGAACATCCCGCAATGTTTGGCGTTCAGCGAACGCTAGAACAGGCTATGTTCGAGTCGAACATGCAGCCCATCACTAGTTGCCAGTTGCTTCTACTTTGTTATAATACCACTAACAGGTGACCGCGGAATATTTAGTAGCAAGGACATTTCATGGGACAGCTGAATCCAATGATTTGGAGGGGTGTCCCAATACTTTTGGTAATATAGTGTATGTGATGCCAGTATACAGTGTTGCTGACACTGTCCGTGAGAAGCATACTGTTCTGTATTACAGAAAGCAGGAATCACCAGCACTCGGTAATATTGTTCAACAAGTCCATTTATTTGAACAAATCGTCAAAATGAAATATATAACATTGAAAAGAAAATGTATATTCCTATAACACTATAATGTACAATATGCAGGGCCGGATATCCCACGAGGCCAACCAAGGCAAAGCCTCGGGGCAGCAGGGAGTAGAGAGGCAGCAGGGGTGTGGAATTCCTATCTTCCGATGCCAGGATGCTGGCGGGTAGCTGTCTAGAATTTTAAAAAAGCCTACAGGCACTGCAGGGTGCAGCCCTGGGCCTCGGCCGTGAGGACCCAGAAGACAGCCGCCTGAGTACACGGGCGCACTGAGATGGACACCAACGGGCCCCCCCATCTCTGCCCCAGGGCTGTGTTTGAATAGGTACTGGGCCCCCAGTAGGCTCAGGGGGGCACCGGCGGTAGTTCCGCCACTGATGCAACCCGCAGGTCTTCCATTCTCCATTGGGGGTGGGGAGTTGGGGGGTCGGCGCATTGACGAACCTGGCCTTGGGGCAGCAGAGAGAGTAAATCCGGGCCTGACAATATGTTTGCTAAAATGTAGAAGTTCATATCAAAATGTTTCATATACTGTAGATTTGGAAACAAGTTTTACAAGTATAGTTGTTTTTTGTAATGAAAAGAGATTTGTATTTTTTTTTTGTTTTTAGAATACGAGACGAATGAGTACGGAGTCCTTATTAATAAAAATGAAACATAATAATTAGCCTCGTCCTCGCTGGGAATTACGGGAGTATTTCTTCACTCTTAATTAAAGTATCGTCCTCCACGGGCAGCAATACCATGAGGAAATCTTTGTAGGTTTTGCTCTCCGGTGAATATTCCAGCCCTGGGCTATAGTTATGTTAAAGTGTTTGTACACGACGACACACTCAGGTGCGGGTAAAGGTAATGACAGGTTACCTCCAAGGTATATTTCCCTAGGTAATGCAGCTGATAACTAAACACAAGTGAAATGATTTAGATTTCATTCTGAATATTGATTTCATCTATTGTGTTTTTACTTTACTTGAAATGAATAAACCAGTAATGTATTAAATACATTTAAAGGAGAACTATGAGGCGAGTCAAAATCACTCAACTTCATAGTTTGAGCCAACGCGTGACAATGTAACTGTCACAGGTCGGCTCTATAGATCGGGAAGTGAGTGAACACATAGAGTCGCTCGCTCACTTCTCGATCATCTCGCTGCAGAGAGCTGTGTTGCGATATATCTTAGTGGACTTTTTCAGACACACATAGATTTGCAATAGAGACGGAGGTTTTGTTTGTTTGTTAATAGAAACTTGGTTCATACAATGGAAGGGGCCAACTAAACAAACCGAACTGGTTTTACACAATGGTGTAGCTTGTCCTGTATTGATTTGTATCACAATGGGATGGTGATCGTAAACAGTCAGGCCTAGCCTGGTCAAGACTCAAATCAAATCTTGACTACTGATGGCAATTTATGGTACAACGCTGCCACCTAGAGGTGGGAAAGTGAAATGTATTGCATTTTCCTAAAGGTGAAAGGGGCGTCGCTTCCAAAGTTTTAGGCCAGTTTTCTCTCAATAAAAAGGAGTAGCTGAAAGGTTGAGGAGCACAGCACTTCCCCAGACGAGGGCTTCACAGGAGGGGGACAGTACAAATTGGAGTTGTCCCAAATGCGCAAGGACTGACGTGTTATGGCGCTATTGATAGTGTGTCTGTCTTTGGGTGAAATCCACAGCAATTTATCTATGGCATACGGGTCACAGTCCAAAGCCTCGATCGATACCCACAGCGGCTGGAGGGGAAGGATGGGGAAAACAAAAACAACAGGTTAACGAACAGCATTTAGAACACATGGTTCTGACCCTCACTACGCGGTCCCCGCTGTGGGGAAAACCGCGTGGAGGGGCAGAAAAATAGTCCCTAGGCGGATAACCGTCCGAACTAGGGCTGTTGGGGGGTACAGTGACCACTACCCCAGCGTCTCGGGGAGAGACTAAGAAGCTAGCTAAACAAACAGTAACAAAAAGTTAGCATCATTGAACAGAAACCAATCACTTCCGACCATTAAAGGGATATTCCAAGGGATGGTATGCTGGATCTTGGAATGGGGGAGGTATTTGGAGCCCAGGGTGACATAGGGGACTACGTGTTATCGTGTGGCGTGTAGTTTGGTAGGCATTGCGATAATGTATCCTCAATGGTCAGGAGCGTGAGGGGATGGAGCTGCTTAAGGGCAGAAATACGGCAAGGCGACACCTGCTTACATTGAGGACCTATTGGTACAGCTCAAGTGCGCCTTCGTTATGGTCGGGTATTTAGATTTGAGCGTGGGCCTAGGGATAGGTGACCTAATATGGTAAAGGGTCTTCAACTCTGAGGGATTGGGTGTACGGATAATGGTATGGGGGATAAAGGTTAGACTATGCAGGTGATAACAATATAATGTATATGCATAATAAGGAAAATCCCAACAAACTTCAGCCTCCTGAGTGGGTACCTGGATATGGCAACCTGGAGTTATCAAGAGTGGTGATCCATATAGGGAAAGAAAAAAAGATTTCCCTGGCATTGTGGCTCTGCTGTCTCTTTTTGGGAGTCTTAGAGGACATGATCGTGCGGCCGAGACACTGCGGTACCTGTCGGTGAGTCCGGTCAGGTGATCGGTGCGCTCAGCTGTGCTGTATTTCCCCCGAGACGCCGGCGAGTGACCGAGCTGCCTTAGGGCACGTCAGCCATCCAGCACGCCGCGCATGCGCCCCCCGTAAAGTACTTTTAATGCTACTGGGTCAGTTTCCTTGAAGTTTACTGCAAGAACAGACAACAAATAGAAATTAAAGTTTTGCCAAGCTTTACAGCTGGGCTCATCCTTGAGATAAGCTTTACGTCTCTGGGATTTGTAGTCCAGAGCATTACAGAGCTGTGACTGTCAGTCATGGCTCCAGGCCCGGCGCTACCGCAAGGCAAGTCAAGCGGCCGCCTGAGGGCGCTGAAGGGGTGAGGGCAGAAAAAAACAGGGCATTTTGACAAGTACCTGTACTTGTCAAAATGCCATGATGCTTGCGTTATGTTTTTTTTTTTTTTTCTTCACTCACCTTTGGTGCGGTGTGACTGCCAGAGCATCCCGACACGCACGGCACCTCTGGCAGTCACCGGACAGCTAAGTTAGGGCCCCACCTGGAGCTCCTCCCACCGGACCAGCGCTGACTCGCCGCTGCTCTCCAGCACAGCGCTGACTACAACCTCACCAGCGAGGCACCTTCATCGAGCAGTAAGTGAGGGCAAGGTGGGGTCCCTATTAAGAACTAATGATTATTAGCAGGTGATAATTGTACATCTATTGTCTGCAGTGTGTACTCTATATGTACTACATATAGAATATACACTGCAGACAATAGATTTACAATTATCCTATGCTAATATGAATGGATTAAATGATCCATAGTACATAGTATGTACATAACATGTAGTTGTACTACGGATCATTTAACCCATTCATGTTAGCAGAGGTTACTAAGAGCTTTTATTTGCAACCTGTGATGCTCTGTGCAGCTTCCCACCCAGCTCACTGATGTCACTGGAGCTGAGCTGCACACTTTGGTTGGTTGTCCCGCTGAGCTCCTGGCAGTCAGTAACATCTTTGAGCTGGGTAAGATGACAGGCAGAGCCACTGAAAGTGTGGTCTGGCATCCACCCCCTTTTCACTGAATACAAATTAACAAATCAGAACAACAACGTCAACCCACCCCATCCCAATGAACATTCTCTACCAGCACCCCCCACCCTTGGGAATGACATTGCCTCAGGCGGACAACTCTGTGAATACTTCAGCTTCATAGTAATATGTTCTGAGTGAATCCATCCAGGTTGAATCTCCTTTGGGTTCAGCAATTCAGCAAATGGTCATGTAAATGTGATTTAAATTTGATGTGAATCCTATGGGGGTGGTAACCATCTTGTTAATCAATCCTGGCCACTTGTAGGGCTTATAGGCAAGGTATTGTCAAAAAAAGCTGGGCACTATGCAACAATGCATACCAGCAGGCCCGGATTCCCCACAAGGCCACCGAGGCCCGGCCTCGGGGCGGCAGGGCGCAGAGGGCAGCTTTGGGAAAGCAAGGCTAA